CTCCATCTGGGTTAGGGTTAGGGTTAGGGTTTAGTCCCTCCATCTGGCTCCACAGAGACTCTGAGTCTGGTCTCTGCTTCATCCTGTGTTAAACACTTTAAAAAGGCAGAATGTGTAATTAAGTCCATTTTTTCCAGGTGTTCTCCTGGTTCTGGTGGTCGGCTGTGGGCTGCTCTCCTCCATCCCTGCAGAATAAAACATTTCCCCACGTGTGTGTGTGTGTTCTTACAGGTTAGTATAGTTGTGACCTCTAAGCAGGTCTAGAGTTGTAGGAATCTGTGCTGGTCTGTGTCAGTCACATTAATCCTTGTTCTGAGCCAGGTTATTAGTGGGAAGTAACTGCTGTTAGAAAATTGTATTCATTAGTCTGTCATTAATTCAACTTTGACCAAATCTAAAAGCTTGTATATTTAGGAGCTATACTTTTCCTGTAGCTAATGTTGAGTAAAGATAGTTATTGACATGTGTCACCAACTGTCCATCAGAGGGTGAGAAGGTTGTAATGACTGGATTATATGTGACTCTGACACAGGCTTAACATCCAGGTAAGTTTATTAAACTTTATGAGAATGTTCTAGAATAGAAACAGTTGGATTAGAAGAGTGTTAAACAGCTTTTTGAATTCCTCAGTCTGGACATATTTAGTAAAATCTTAATTCTAATAGTATTTAACCTCCTAAGGTGTGTGGTGGGTGATGCTGTCTTTAAGAAGGAGTGACAGTAATATTTTCTCTATAGAAATACTTTTATGTCCAGTTCTCCAACCTGTGGCTCTTAGATAGTTGTGTAAAAATCAGTTGACTGTGAGTTGAAAGTACATTTCTGTATGTTTATATTTATCATTTTTACTCTAGACTTAATCCACTAAATTCTTGAGGGTATTTACATGAAACATTCTTGTTTATATCAAAACTCTTTTAAAAGATCTATTGTAATATCTATCCAGAAATCTATTGTCGGATTTCTGGAACCTTTAATTTTGGTTCAAAGTCTAACCCGGGGTAAATGTTTAGTGGGGAGATCTTGCATCACACAGTTGGACTTCCTGGCTGCAGAACCCTCCATCAGCCCCGGAGAGAAAGAAGCCTGCTGCTTCCTGCCCCTGCTGTGGTGTCTGCTGCCCCCCATGGATGGTTCCACACACATGTCTGACAGGGAACACGGGTTCCTCTGCAGGGTCCTGATACTGTGATGGGGCCAAACACATGATGGAAAGTTTTGTTTAAAAGAGATTGTGGAGGGGGCCTAGTGTTCTGCTGCGGGGCGGGGGGGGGGGGGGGGAGGGGGGGAGAGAGAGAGAGGATGGATGGCTGTACCAGGGGAGGTGATTGAGCATGCCTGAAACCAGTTGCCTAATCACTCTCCCCTCTGTGAAAGGAAAACAGTGCTGTACCTGGGAGGACTGGTTTTTCAGAGCTGGAGCGGGAGACAGGCCAGAAGAAAGGAACATAACGGCCGATATACGCATGGCTCCACAACAAAACGGGCAGATGTGTGTGGATGCAATATGTACTCTGGAAATAAACGGTAAACCCAAACAACCTCTGGTCTGGAACTCTGTCGGGGAACCCACGGTGGCCAACTGTAATATATGTTACAGTGAATAATAAACTGGTGTGAGTACATTACTTCTATTCTCTATTGTATACCAGGTATCTAATGCTAACAGTGGTCCTGGTGTGCACGGGCTGCTACACGGCCAGATTATGCAACTAAGTCCCGCACCTTTCGGTGAAAAGCAGATAACTCTAGGATATAATAGTCCCAACAACTAGCACAGTCATTAACCTGATGCCCCAATGCTAACCAAAGCACTAACTATAACCCCTGCCATTAGCTCTAACCCACAGAACTAACTTTAACCTCAAGCATTAACCCTATCCCCAGCACTAAGTATTAACTCCAGCATTAACCCTAACCCTCCAGCACTAAATATAACCTCCAGCACTAAGTATAACCTCCAGCATTAACCCTAACCCTCCAGCACTAAATATAACCTCCAGCATTAACCCTAACCCTCCAGCACTAAGTATAACCTCCAGCATTAACCCTAACCCTCCAGCAATAACCCTAACCCCCTTCATTAACCCTAATCCTAACCCTAACCCCCAGCATTAACCCTAAACCCAAGCATTAACCCTAACCCTAACCCCCATGATTAATCCTAACCCCAAGCATTAACCCTAACCCAGCATTAACCCTATCCCCAGCACTAAGTATTAACTCCAGCATTAACCCTAACCCTCTAGCACTAAGTATAACTTCCAGCATTAACCCTAGCCCTCCAGCATTAACCCTAGCCCTCCAGCATTAACCCTAACCCTCCAGCATTAACCCTAATCCCCATCATTAACCCTAATCCTAACCCTAACCCCAAGCATTAACCCTAACCCCCAGCATTAACCCTAATCCTAACCCCAAGCATTAACCCTAACCCCCATCATTAACCCTAACCCTAACCCCAAGCATTAACCCTAACCCCCACCATTAACCCTAATCCTAACCCAAAGCATTAACCCTAATCCTAACCCCAAGCATTAACCCTAACCCTAACCCCCATCATTAACCCTAATCCTAATCCCAAGCATTAACCCTAACCCCCAGCATTAACCCTATCCCCAAGCATTAACCCTAACCCCAAGCATTAACCCTAACCCTAACCCTAACCCCCACCATTAACCCTAATCCTAACCCCAAGCATTAACCCTAACCCTAACCCC